GACGCTACTAGGGGCTCCTGGCATCGCTACTAGTAACAAGAAGCTACGCACGGTGGAGGTACCTCAGTCCATCCCGAGTCGCTGTCCGCCGATGGGTGGATCATCCACCAGGACGCGGTCGATGTTCTCCCAGTCCTGATCCTGGCGCCGGAAGGACCGGAAGGAACGGTTTGGGTCGTTTGGGTCGTTCACTTTGGGTCGTTTGGGATGGTTTTTCTTCAGTTTGTAGATCCCCACTCAAAATGTATTGGAAACCGTGCCACCATCTATTTGGGGACCACTAGATGGTCGGATATGGTCTCGAAGGTGAAGTCTCGAAGATGTGAATTCGCTGTTTGTTCTTGCTTTTTGGGCCTTGCGCTGATCCTTGGCTCGTGTGAAGAACCAAACACGGAAGCTGGAAAAGAGCTGCATAGAACGAGAGGCATTTTCCGACGTTCTTTGCGAAGGAATGTCCACAATGATGCCCCTCGATCCATGCCATATTTGAACAAATTCCAGTCACATCACCTCCCTCCAATAGTTTCGCAATGCCCACGCCTTGCGCGTGAGCTGTGGCCTTGCGCCAGGATAGTTTTTCTTCCCATCCGCCATATCCTCATCCGGGCAAACACATCAGGGGGCCCAAGGTATTTGGGCAGCTCACAGTTTCAACTCTAAATGCTATCGCATCAGAGGGGCGAACTCATGGATTGTCGGTAATTCATCCATGTCGTTGTACCTTTGAAAATGGTTGCAGCCTTATATTGTACTACCATGTACTACCATAGATGTCTGACATGATTTCTTCGATGTCTGACATCTTCCACGTCTTCCGCCACCGAACGCGTCCAGGGTCCCAGGTCCCAGTGCAGGTCAGCACCACGAGTCCGACACGGCTCACGCGCGGCTCTCCTCCGCCATCTGCACCAAAATATTGGTCATGGCCTCGAAACACGGCTGCATTATGCTGCGGTGCTTCAATACTGCTCTGGTGCCATGCATATCAAACATGGAAAATGCAGAAATCGTGCAACAAAAAATGCACCAAACACCAGCTGGGCGTCAGCTATTGGGTGCTGGAAACAAATGAGTGCCAAATCGTGGCTTTGTGTTCGACACAACTCAACTGAAGTTCTGAATAATAGTAGAAGTCTTCATTACATTCAACATCCATACACTCCGATTCATCAACATGGCTGAACTTGAAATATCACAAGAACTCTATATATATATATATGTTGGTAATCCCTGAAACTTCTATGAGTAACTCGGAACTCGGACCCCCTGATTTTAATGGTATAGACGGTGTAGAGTTATGACTGGTAATTGTCCAGCAATAACTCTATACCGTCTTAAGTTAATGAACCCCAAATTGCCTCCCTCAGCAAACTCAGAGTTTGACCTAAGCCTTACCACCTAGGCCCTGCAAATCCCTCCAACAGGGAATACCTTCATCAGAAGTTCTTGATGGTCCAACTTGATGGTTGTAGCCAGCTGTTGTGCGTGTGAAAGAGATCCAGAATAACATTGAGCCAGCATGACAGGGGAGCATATTTCATGTGTATATGATAGCATGACTGTGCTTGTGCTGTTGGTGTTGCTTCTGCTTCTGCTTCTGTTGCTATTGTTGGCGCTGTCGTCAGCATTGAGGTCAACAGGGGCCACACGCACGTCTGCACGTCTGATGGGAAGAAGATGGAAGAAGCCCACGTTCAAAGGTTGGTCAAAATGCCGTTGTTTGTGTTTTTTGGGAGGTACCTACCTTTTGTGTGTGCAGGGCCAGTTCAAATGGCATGTGAGTTGCTGCTAGAGTCACTGAAAAAAGAAGTTGACTTTGCGGAGCGTGCATCTCTTTTGTGCGAAGCAAACATCCAACCTCCTTCCACCAATCTGACCGTCAGCAGCTCGTCTCGCAAGCGGCATGTTGGGCAAAGATTGCTGGAGGAGTCTGAAAGATTACAGTAATTGAAAAGTGTTTGTGTGGCGGCAACTGTTGCATCGGCAAACTGCTTTCTGCCCTTGAGTCAGCTTTGACAAGCTGAAGTTTACTGTGGTTGTGCTCTGCCAAGGGAACTAGAAAAGCACCCACAAGTACAAACGCCCAGAAAACCAGAGTGTTGGCAATCCAGGATCCAGGGTGTCTTTCCTCTGAACACATGAAGTCTTGAGTCTTGAAGCCTTGAATCCCTGCTGACGCCCTGAAGCGGACATTAGGAGGCACAACAAGACATTCGATGAAGAACGGACGTTTCGCACTGTTGACGTAATGAGGCGGACGTGCGAAACCCAGTCCAACCACCCGTGGTCAGCAATGGTACAGTAATAGTGTTGGAAATGAAATCGGATAGAGGGTCAGTTGGCTGGGTCGAGTAGAGAAATTCAAAGCAGAATCCAGATCCCAAGATTCAAGTGAAAACAGTTCTTCAACGGTGCAAACATATCAGCTCAAACGCAGCAACAGAGCAAAACACAAGAGGAAACATTAAAGAAAAATGAAAAACAAATGTTCAGTAGGCTGTTGCATGTGACAAGACAGCTGCGGCAAACACTGTGCACAAAGTGCCTACAAATTACAGCCTAACGCTAATCCGGAGGACGCACGCTAGTCACCAAACATGAAACACCAAAGACCTTCAAAATCGTCGCTTCGCGCGGGGCCCCAATTAGAGCCGTTGGCTAGCAGACTAGCAAAGTGCGGCTCCAAGCTAGACTCCAAAGCTCCTCTGCTCCAAAGCTCTCCAAAGTTCTTCCAGTTTTGAGTCGAGCGGCTTCGTGCGTGTATGGGCCATAGGTCGTGAAGCCACCCTCATAGCGTTGATGCTGGTACTCCTGGGCCAGCGTTGGTGAGTGATGTTCAATGGTCAACAGGATGCAACAGGTGCACAAACAGAACTGGTGCAGCTATAGGGTCTTAGTCTTAAAGGTGAATAAATAGGTGAATATTTCACAACCTAGTCCTTTCAGTCCATACAGTAATACACATGAACTCCGCCCCACCCTACCCGCAACTTCATTACCTGTTGCCGTCCATCTGTGAATCAAATCCAAAGCTTTCAACCTCGCAAACCTACCGAACTGCTGCACCGCGGGACACCGTACCGTGCTGCCCAAATTCCAAAAAGTAGCCTTTTGAGTTTTCGAGTATTTTCACGAAAACGTCCCAAATCGGCCGTTGACGTTTGATTAATGTACACCTCCCTTTCTTTCCTTGCATTCAATGGCGGTTTGATTACATAAGTTGCGCAAAAGCGTGCTTAATGAAAAGGTGTCCAGGACAACACTTCCTGTCCAATCTTGCAATAGTGTACTACTTTCAATTGGATACGGACCTGGACCACAGTAGTTAACCTAGAGGTGCAGCAAGTACACAAAATCGTACTTTGAGGTAAATCTTGTCCAAACCCTCAATTTGAGAAAGGACGCTACTAGGGGCTCCTGGCATCGCTACTAGTAACAAGAAGCTA